CGGGACACTGCTTACAATTAGGACAATTTTTGTTGGTACTGCGTCTTCTATTAGATATATTTAATATCTATAATTTAAATTGATTGATTGATCGGCGAAGAGATCAGAAAAAAAGCCTAGTGAGAATGCTGAAATTGACAAGCGTGGCAGCATTGCTGCTCTGCGTGGCGTTGACGTGTGCAGGTGCGTATAGGGGAGGGGTAGAGAGAAATAGAGGGTTGATAGCTGAATTTTTGTTATAGGTGAATACATAAGGATTCAAGTAAGAGCTACTCTCTCTTATAATAATACATAAATGTTTGGGGGTTTTAAATAAAAGCACAAAATTTCATAAAAATTCACAAATGTACTTTAATTTACTGAGTTATTCGGCGAGCGATCACGATTGATTTGCCGATTTGCTTTACAAATCCGCTTTCTAATAATGGTGGCATTTTAGAGCTCGATGAGTTTGTCACAGTGCTCATCCTGACCAAATGTGATCAGATAAATGCTAGTAGCCGCTGAAAAAATATACAATTTTTTTCGAAAAAAAAACAATAGCTTACAGAAGAAGTAAATAATTTATTACAAACCAAAACAACTTTTCAAAATATTTAGTATATTCTACTGCGCCAAACCAGTAAAGTACTTCAGGAGAGGGGTCCTACAATTACTTGTGGTAGAACTCATACTTAGTTAATTACATTTTTTATTATTCCCAGAACCCCGATTGGGTCCACAACAACAGAGGCAACTGCGTTCCGGCGCCGCAATCGCCTCATCAAATCATCCTTATATCTTTCTTGCCCGTCCACGTACCAATGGCGATGGTCATGAAGTNAATGTTAATAAGGAAAGCAATAACGATGACGATGATATTGACGACGCCAAAGAAGATGATGATGACGAAGAAGAACAAGATAATTCAGTGGATAATGCTGACGACGATGACGACGAGGCGAGCTTCGAGTTAAATGATGATGATGCTGATGATGAAGAGAATGAAAACAATGTAAATGATGTAGCCAGCAATATCGTATTCCTGCGTTCGCGTGTGCCGCACTCACCTCGTCTGCGCAGTCAATTGAAAAATCAAAACCCCGTGCAGAGCTCCACTTTTGGTAATCGCGCCAGCCAATTCAATGCT